GTTAACGGATTTGATATTACAGGTATTATATAGTTATTATAAACCATATAATTGTACATACATATGGACATTTTCGTATAATAAATATTTAAGGAGTAATACGCTCACTTGGTATTCCATCCATGAAAATATATTATATGTGTATGCTTATGAGCCTAGGCGTTTTGTTCCAATTCATTCCTTCCTCCTCTTTTAAAGTCTTCCAGCAGTGTTGTGTTATTTGTTGTTTAAACAATTTGAGTTTGTGTTTAAATCCGCGCCCGTTTATTTTGTTTTTATTTCTGTTTTGTGTTTAAGTGCTTTTAGGTTTCGCGCCCGATATGTCTTTTAGTTTTTTTTTTTGTTTGCTTATACAGTTTTGTAGTTTTGTTTTTTAAATGCACTTTGTGTTTTTAACTGTTTTGTTTCACTGCACTCTTTTCGTTGGTTTTTTATTTTTATTATATGTTCTGTCACTAAACTTGTGTTAAGTATGGGATACATAATTATGTATTTTATTTTCACTATGTATATTTGATCACCACACCGCACTGTTTGTATAAGTGTTTTTTTTTTTTTTTTTATAAAAATCCGAAGGTGCCTTTCGGTAAGGCTCGAAGGACCATGAATAATTGGGGTGCCAACTATATTCCCCTATTGAACTTTCACAAGAAAAATGACAGCGCTTTAGACGTATACACTTTATTTGACTTAATTTTTTTTTTTTAAATTAATTTACACAAGTAAATGTACTGAGTAAGTGTATAATTGTTCAAAGTAGCGCATCGGTGTCGTATTAAATTGACCGGAGCGCGCGGATTTTGTGAGGACGTTTATATCCAAAAATGAAGTTGATAAAGGCTTAGGTTGAGGAAGCGAAAATGATGTGGCGCTCAGGCCCGTAGTCGATAAGCGAATGTTGATGTGAGCGATGATCCCGTCCCTTTTGTTAGATGTACAGGTGCCGTGTTATGGTGTGTTTTCATCGAGTGTGAGAACCTGTGATTGTTCTCTGGTGTGGTGTGTTGCATTAGGGTGCGCCAGTTGTTACCGGAGAGGTGGTGGTACTGAGCTTAGCTCATTTAAACAAAAGATTTTTTAAAATCGGGGTAAGCGAGCATTACATCTTTGATGTCAATATACATTTCAAGGTGTCAAAAGCTTGGTATTGTATTGAATCTAGTATGATCTTTACTTTTTTGACTGATTAGCACTGACTCTTCAATTTTCACCTTTCAGAATGTCGGTCAAAGGTTTGGCTATGATGCAAAGTCTTTAATGAAACATCTATAATAGCTTGCTAGTCCTAAAAATGATCTTAGATTGAATAAATTTTTGGGCTCTGGGAACATTGTTATATAATTTATCTATACATGTTTTGATGCCCCCTCTTAATACAATAAACCCAAGATTTTCGGTTCATTAAAAAAAAAGGGATTTTTCTACAGATACTCTCATGTTAGTATCATATAGGCTTTTTAAATCCCAGTTTACTCTTCAATATGTTGTTCTTTTGTTTGTGAAAATATTATGACGTCTACATAAACATAACAGCTTGTACCTATTCTTTCCCTTAGCACGTCGTCTATAGCCCTCTGGAATATGTACACTAGGGGCATTTTTTAATCCAAATGGCAGTCTACAAAACTCATACTTTCCATTGCTTACAGAAAATGCTGTTTTCTTCCTATCTCGTTCTGCAAGTTCAATTTGGTGAAAGCCTGATTTCAAATCCAGGGTTGTAAAATATTGAGACTGACCCATGTTAGACAAGATCGACATTACATTTGGTATTGGATACTTGTCATCAATAGTAACTTCATTTAATTTTTGAAAAACTACTACTAAGCGTTTCTTCCTGTGGCCTAACTTGTCGACCTTTTTTGTCTACTACCCAAATTGGATTGTTGTATGGAGATCTAGAGGGTCTAATAATGCCATTATGTAAAAGTTTTTTTTATTTCCTTTTTCACGAAATCTGCTACACTTAATGGATAAGAGCAAGTGCCAAAGCAGTCGGTAAATCAATTGGCCTTGTAGAAAAATAAAATATCGCAAAGCGGTTTTCTTAAACCGGAAATTAAAATGCATAAAGCATCCGTTCTGTATTTTCGTTATTGAATTCGCTAGGTAACCCTCGTAAGTCATTAGAGTCTTAGTAGAAAGCAGTGTCAGCTTTCGCTCTACTTTGTCATAAAATTCTATAACAGTAAGACTTCCTTATCTTAAAGTGCTAAGCTCTTGCTCGATCAAATAAACTGGTCGCTTATCTGCATAGGTAAAATCAAGCCTTGCTATTATAGCCTTGAAATTTAACACGGTATTAAAAGAAGCTAGAACAGCGTCTGCAGGACCTCTAATTTTGTTCCTAATTATTGCGACGCTTGGTAATGTTTGCACTTCATCATACCTCTCATATAATTTGTAGGCCGTGTGCGTCGCTTGTATCCATGACACATAATGCTCTTGTTTGCCGTCAAACTCAGGCAACGATTTTGCAAGATCTTGATTTTATCACATTGCACATTTCCTGCAATTTTAACCTCCTCAAAGGGTTGTACGTGGTCCATAAAGACAATTTGAAGTAAATTAAATTTTTATACAACATAATGCATTCAAGTGAATTTAAATATTAAAGTATGCTACACTAATTGCTTAAATGGTTTTCTCTGATCTGTATTTATACTTAAAATTTCAGCTGATTGTAAACTGAGCTTTTCACAAAAATGTACTTTATGTGAGCAACATTTTGTAATTGTATTAAATAAGTTTGGTAAACATTTTGTATTCTACGATTAGTTTTAAGAATGTATTAGAAAATATTTAAACTAGTATGTAAGACAAATTGTACGAACCTCTACCGCTTACTCAAGAAGGAATATATTATAATTTATATAATAATTTTAACTTATTGCCATTAAGAGATCTGACGAGAAGATCTAAACAATTATGTTGACCACTATTAGTTTATCGCTCTATATTGTATTTTATTAACCGCACTGAGCTGCTACTCTTGTAACAACATTGGAGATAAATGATATTTAGGAACGAGGACGTTCCTCATTAAGAAGGAGAGGAGTTAAGCTGCAATGGCCACCCACGCATTTTATCTGCCCTCTGTTACAATTATAGTATCATGACTTGCAGTGCAAGAGTGTGTTGATTGCTGGGAGAGCGTGGAGAGTAACAGTGGTAATGCTAATAGATGAATGAAGATCTACATTAACAACAAAGAGAGAAAGCGGTAGGCCGACTCCTATTGGAGTATGTTCTGAGCAGAACAGTGTGTCTAACGGAACGACAAGGTTACATCTCATATTATGAAGTACATCTGATATTATAAAGCACGTCACATATTATAAAGTACAAAAAACCAAATAAATTAATTAATTTAACTTGTATACTAATCATATGGTGTCACTCTAAGTTTTTTTTAAACTTAACAAATTATTCACAATCGTTATATATTTACACAATTTTCTTTTGAAAATATAAATATGTACTTTACTTGACCTTGTGAATTGGTTAATTAAGTACTGCAGGGTTTTCATATGTACTAAGATTAAATCAAACATCACATTTGCGAATATTCTGGAATTAATATAAATTAAAATATTAAGTCTAGATATATACGCTTGAAGTAGCATTTTATGCTCTACATACATAATATAATTATTTTTATGGTCTGTAACTCTATGTGTTGTCTTACACGTTACAAAATTTAGTCGGTGTGATTCAGTATATATGCTGTTCAATAATAATAAGTTTAAACTTACATTAACGATAACAGCAGCAATCCAGATAAAAGCTTTAATATGCGTAGAAGTATTCAGCTGCTTTTCTTTCTCAGCAAAGTTTTTTACCAAATTATTTCATTTAACACTCAAAAAATCTGTAATAATAGAAAACGTTATAGTATCAAGAAGATTGTAATGATTTTTTGTAACAAGTAACACACCTTTCCACAAATTCAACCACAGGAAGTACAAAAAAAAAAACACCCACTCAATCTGCAACTGTTGTTGTTGTTGTAGCGGCAGAATTCGCAATCTGGAACTCTTTTGGAATGCTTACACCTAATCAGGATACAAGTAATCCTGCAGTATGTTTTGAAATGCAATCTTAATTTTACCACGATCACGTCCGTTTAATTTTTGAATATCAGGCAGTAAACTCATTAGGAACATAGCGTCCGGATCTGTTTTGCAGTCACATAACTCCACATGTGACTGAGACGCAGGCGGAGGCGCTGAAGTATTCGCTGCATTCATTAACGTTGGCACCGATACCGCTGTACTTGCAGCAGCACTGCTACCTAAACCAGCTCCAACAGTGCCAGACGATATTGAGGCGATTTCTAAACGATGATGCGAGTTACTACTGCCACTAACGCTATGATGACTATAATTGTGTGTGTGATGACTAGCACTAGTGTGGCGTTGGTGATGCTGGTGACTCATAGCAGCCGAAGTTGTTGCACCCTGGTTACTTATACTCGATGTACTACTCGCATTCACATCTGCATCGTTATTTGGATTATTTGTCAATGCATTGCCTATATTGACGCCAGCGCCAATACTGAGGCCGACATTGCCGGAATTGCTTGTTGTAGTGCTGACCAATTCCATGGGTTTCGCCAGCGTTGGTCGTACCAAGGAAATGTTTGTATGTGTTGTTGCTGTGCTGACTTGGGAGCTATGCATGCGTGTATGACCACTAGCGCTAACCGGTGGTATAGAAGGAGCACTAGGGTGTGTGTTAGTATGCGAACTACTACCAACTGTGGTAGACAGATTAACGCTGCCGGCAGTACCACTAACAATTGCATGTGTGCTACTTATGCTATCTTGCGAGCGCGGTCGCTTGACGCGAAATTCATCTTGGTATGAGCGTGATTGCAAACGCATAAACTGTTGCATGCGCAATTGTGCACGCCTCTCTTCTAATGGTATGGTGGTGGTGCTGTTGCTGTTGGCATATGAATCCATCATGAAATTACGCATTTCCATCTCTTCAAGTTCATTATCTTCTTCCTCGTGGCGCTCAGCAGCGATTTCTGGTTCATAATCATCAACGTCCGATTTAACATCGTCACATTCGGATTTAATGTCATTATTGAGCGGATGTATGTGTGGGTCCTTAGGGCGAAAACGGTTTCGTTGCTCGTCATCTATAACATCTTCTAAATCGTCGGAGTTATTTGGCTCGGCATCATCAAAATATTCCAAGTAATTATCGATGGGTTGCTGATGCGTTTGTTGTGGATGTAAAATTGACGAGTGTACTTCGCTTGTAACGTTATTACAGCTAAGAGCGGCAGCTGCATTGGCGGCAACTGCCGCTGTGCGTTCTCGTTGCAAACGATCGGATAAAGAGCTGATGCGCACTAAGGCATCCTGTACTTGTGAGTCAAGTGATTTGGGTTGTGTATGTTTTCTATGAACATTTGAATTAAAAACTTTTTTCATTACAAAACAATAATCTCAAATTGTACTTACTTTCTTAGATAAGGATGTAAGAAAAACATACGATCGAAATAAGTCCAACAGGGCGGTACTTTTTCTTCAAGATAATTTGTGTACTCGCGCCGAAAGGATATACGCAAGTTAGTCCACTTTGCAAGGCTAGCGCCAGCTAAAAATCAAATTAGCAATGTGCGTGGTAAAACTACGCAGTTTTGGTTTACTTACGATTCTTTTCAAGTTTTTGATCAACTTCACGCCAGAAATTTTCTACATATGGTCGACAAAAGTAATATTTATGGCGCGGATTATAAATGGCCTCATCATGTTGCACCATATCGATCAACTTAAAAACTTCTTCAGTTAGCCAACGTGAGGATGAACACGAAGGGACGCCAGTTACGTTTGCATAGTAATCATTCGCCATACCTTTAAAATAATGAAACTAAAAAAATTTTTCGCTGAGTAATTATTATTCGATACCTACTTCGCTGTAAAAAATATCTCTGTTCATACGATTTTTACCGCAACCACTTTTTGCACATTCCAGTGTTCAATTCATTGGATTTTGCATTCGTCCGGCAAATGATTCGATAAAAAGAAACGGTAATGTGACAAAAACAAAACAATTGGAAATTAATAACCAACGTGTGGCCAGACTGAATTAAAACGCTTTACACGATCTTTTGGAATAATAGAATAATTGAATTCACTAATTAATTGGTTTTTTAAGCAATACTTTACTAAACAATTTAGAAAAAATTTATTTTTCAATTGTGTGTTTGTTATTTTAATTGTGTGATATTTGCAAATATTTCCAAATTTTTACTTGAAATGGCTAATTTCCTATTAAGCGCCAGATGTCAGCAATGCTGCCAAACCAGCTGACGTTCTCTACCTTTTGACATTTGGCGCCAAAACAAGCGTTTTGCCTTCATTTCTTGTGCAAAATTTGCGAAAGTGATCATTTGAAAAATTTACATCGTGTCGTTTGGTTGTGAAATCTAGCGTTGGGAGTTAAGTAAAGTTGATTTATCTAATTTGTGTATATTTCAAGTTGTATATCTTTGAACACAATAAACCGGCACAATGTTTGAAGCGCGTCTAAATAATGCAACTACACTCAAAAAGATCTTGGACGCCATCAAAGATTTGCTAAACGAAGGCACTTTCGATTGCAGCGATTCCGGCATACAGGTTAGTCCACAAATTACTGATATTGTGTACTACTAGTGCTAATTATTAAATTTTCCGTTGCAGTTGCAAGCTATGGACAATTCTCACGTCTCACTTGTCTCGCTAACGCTACGCTCAGATGGCTTTGATAAATTCCGTTGTGATCGGAATCTTTCAATGGGCATGAATTTAGGCAGCATGGCTAAAATTCTAAAATGTGCCAATAACGATGATACTGTAACCATTAAAGCACAAGATAATGCAGATACAGTAACATTTATGTTCGAATCTCAAAATCAGGAGAAAGTCTCGGACTATGAAATGAAATTGATGAATTTAGATCAAGAGCATTTAGGTATACCGGAGACGGACTATTCATGTGTTGTACGCATGCCCGCAATGGAATTTGCACGTATTTGTCGTGATCTGGCACAATTCAGTGAATCTGTTGTTATTTGCTGTACAAAGGAAGGTGTAAAATTCTCTGCATCCGGTGATGTTGGTTCGGCTAATGTCAAATTGGCACAAAACTTAAACGTTGACAAGGAAGATGAAGTAATTGTAATTGAAATGCAAGAGCCTGTTGTATTAACGTTCGCTTGTCGTTACCTGAACGCATTCACAAAGGCGACACCACTATCTAATCAAGTGCAGCTGTCAATGTCGGCCGATGTGCCGCTAGTTGTTGAATATCGTATAGCCGACTTGGGGCACATACGCTACTATTTGGCGCCGAAAATTGAAGATGATGAGAATTAGTTGTATATGCGTATATCGATATGTTGGTTGCACGGTCACGGTGTAACTAACTTTTCTCGATTTGATGTAAGAAACTATTAAATATTAACTAATTTTAAGCACTAAAATATGTAGTACGTCATTGTACTGATGCTTACATTGTAAAGTGATCGCTTAGGTATAATGCAGTTAAATATCTTTAATTTTTTGAATGTAGCAATAGATATTTCAAAATAAATTTTATATGCATATTCAGTACACTTTTGGTGTTTAAAATCTGATATACATATGTAGTTACTCTACTGTGCCCAAGGGTATACCATTTTTGTAGGTATGCAAGTTCTTTAAAGTATGTGAATTGGAAGCTTCAATAGCTGATTGTAAAGTTGACTGAACGGAAGCTATAAAAAAAGATATAATTTTTAAGCACTTTTAAATTAGGTTCTTATAGAGAAAAGTTTTTTATTTGACGAGATATCTTTACGAGATTTGGCATAGATTATACAAAGCAACGCAATAATCTCCGAATAAATTTATCCGATCCGAATATAGCACATAGCTGGCATCCAAATTGAATGACAGTCGGGTCATAATAACCGGAAAGGGGCCTGCATCCTTTATCCAGCCAAGGACTGGCTACTGTTGTTGTTGTTGTAACGATTACCTAGTCCCCGTTTGGGTGATAAATTCTCGAGTCTCTCTCTTGTCGTCGATGTCATCTAACGGAAGGCCCAGGAAACGAGCTGTTTCGACGGGGTCGGACCATAGGGAGAAGGGTGTTAGATGAGCGGGGTTTGTTGGGCATGCAAAGAGGTGGTTAGTGTCATGCGGAGACTTATTGCACGCAGGACATGCGTTTGGTATGTCGGGGTCTATTCTAGATAAGTAGGAGTTTAACCTGCTACAGTATCCAGAACGAAGTTGCGCGAGGGTCACTCTGGTTTCGCGAGGCAACTCGAGCTCTACATCTGCTATGGGTGGTGGTTTGACTCGTAATACGCCATTCACTGAGAGGGAGTCGGTGAAGGTGTTGATGGCTCCACTGTGAATGGCGGACAGTGCCTGTCTGAAGTTCGTTGCGCCCGAAGTCCGGTCGGCGTACTGTCTAATATCGTCGACGTAATCAAGGAAAGACCTCTTGATGTTCCTAGGGGGCGGCTCCGCTACAAGCAGGCGACTACAGGGGTGGTTTCTACGAAAACACCCCAGCAGAAACTGCTTGGAGAGGAGCTCGTTATATTCCTTAACCGGAAGCATAGGTGTTCGATTGGAGACATCAAGAGACATCGACACCCGATGTCAATATCGTGCAGTCATCAGCGTACGAGGTCACGGAAATTCCCTCTGGTGGTTGAGGGAGTTTGGAGATGTAGAAATTAAACAGTAAAGGGGAGAGGACACCTACGGAACCCCCTGTTTAATTCTACTCAGTTTGGAGTTTTGACCTCGAAACAGTACGGATAATTGCCGACCGCTCAGGTAGTTCATGGTCCACCGCTTCAGCCCTGAAGGGAGCGTAGATTGTTCGATGTCCTCGAGTAGCGTTGTGTGGTTGACTGTGTCGAAGGCTTTCGACAAGTCCAACGCTACGAGGATCGTCCTCTTGCGTGGTGGCTTCTGGTTCAGGCCATGAACTATCTGGGCGTTTATGACGCTAAGTGCTGTGGTGGTGCTGTGCACTTTCCGGAAGCCATGCTGATGTTCTGCTAGGCTGAGGTGGTGAGTGAACGTCGGGAGTAACAAGGCTTCAAGTGTCTTCACTACTGGGGAAAGTAGAGTTATCGGGCGATAAGACTTCCCTTTGTTGGCGGGTTTCCCAGGTTTCAGTAGTGGGACCACTCTTCCGACTTTCCACACATCGGGTATTTGAAGAGTGGCCATCGACAAGTTGAGGACCTTGGTGAGATAGTTTACTTTCATCGAGTCTAGATGTTTTAGCATCAGCATGCTTATTCCGTCAGGGCCAATGGATTTGGACGATTTGGCCTTTGTGATGGCAATCTGAGCCTCCCCATCGGTGAAAGTAAGTGGCGCGCGGTCTTTTGGCATTTTGCGCAGCCGTCGGGTAACACATCGTTTGGCCTTGTCAGTCGAAGGGTGCAGTGTAAACTGCCGGCTAAAATAGCTCGCGCACTTCTTCGGGTCCGAGGAGGCATGGCCATCGAATTGAATTTCAACCCGATCGTCATGTCTCCTCGGATTTGACAGGGCCTTAACAGTAGCCCAAAGCTTACTCACACCGGTGGAGAGGTTGCAGGACTTCAGGTGCTCTATCCATTTTGTCCGCTTATGATGGTTTACCATTTGCCGAATCTCCAAATTGAGATCCCTTATTCGGGGATCACAGGGATCGGCATGGCGTAAGGTGTCGCGCTCATTTGCTAGTACAGCTGCTTCGGCTGGGAAATTAGGGCGGAGTGGGTAGTGCGTTGAAGGTGCTCTCGGTAAATTCTGTGAAGCCGACCCAGTTATCTTTGTTAAAGTTAACAAAAGTGCGGTTGTCCACAGAAATAAAGTCAGGAGGTTTCTCGATCGAGATAATTATGGGCAGATGGTCTGATGCGAGAGTTAGCATAGGTCGCCAGGTTATACTATTTATCAGACCACCGCTAGCAATACAGGTGCCCATAATTCTGGTAGGGGCTTCGTCATTCATTGTGCAGAATGTCGAATCGTCAATCTGTTCCGCCAGCTCCATCCCCCTACGATCGTTTGACAGGCAGCACCAAACGGTTTTCACCACGAAGTAGCGCATTTATGTTCGGGTGATATCCTGTTGGGCAACATGTAACTGGGGGATGTATATATTAAATATTTCGAGCTCGACATCGCCTGACCGGACAGCTATACCCTGACATTCTAGGGTAGTTTCCCTACGGTCGATGTCAACATCCATAAGACGATATTGCACGGTGTTGTGCAATATGAAGGCTAGGCCTCTACCATTATCTCGCTCGCAATCCTTACGTAAGACGTTGAAACCTGCACAACTCAGAAGATCTGAGCGGCTGTTTAGCTTGGTTTCTTGGACCGCTGCTATCGTTACGCGCCCCCGGCTCATGAATGCAACTATCTCCTCGATCTTACTCTGGAGTCCGTTGCAGTTGAATTGTAGGAGTCGCGTTTGACGACAGAAAGTGACACCAGCCAGTGCAAGAATTGCACTTGACTTATGTGACATTCCGGCGTATTACGGTCTGACACACGGAAGAGACTGTGCCTGGAACCAGGAGTTGCTGAGTGGTTCTCGCACGAGAAGGACTGGCTACTCGTCACCTGTTCGCGGAAAGTTCTTGAGGAAAGTTTTCTGCCGCTCCAACAACAACAATGATCAAAATTAAGTTCTTGTATGGAAAACCTTTTTATCACGCAATTTGGCATAAAATATTATAATCTTTAAATAAATATTTTGATTCGGACCACTATAGCATACAAACCGACAGATTAAAATATAGCTTTGTATTTAAAACTTTCTTATTTTACAAGATATCTTCACGAAATTTAGCATATACAAGTCGACGGAATATTATCGGAACAAATTGTTCAGATCGAACTTACCATACAAACTGAACAATTATTACAAGTTATTTTCTAAGTCAACGGTACAATCTTCAAACAAATTGGATTATGTTTTATTACGCAACAACAAAAGTAACAGTAATAGAGAAGCCGCTAATTTGATCAGAGCAGATTTACAATTGATAACTTTAGACCTTTAGTAATTTCTGAATTTAAATAACTAAAATTTCTATTAAATTGATTAATTTTTTGAATTTTTCTTTATTTGTACTGGACAGCGAACCGCTATGTAACGATCAATGTTTGAAATAAAATGCATATTACAACATAAAACTTAATTCTAGTTAACATTAACTGATTGTATGGAAAAATGTAATAGTGTGCGAAACTGGTCAATTTCAAATGCTTGTGAGAGCACACACTATTCAACAATGTAATTGGGATGCACGACCAATAATGGATCGTCTGGCTCCTCCGTTTCGTCATCGGGACGACGCGGACTTTTACCCGGTTGTCGCAATTCGGATGTCTTTAATGGTATTATCACTTGATCGTGATATATTAAACGATCGATAACTTTCTCAATTAAATTTTTACGTGAGATAAGTTCCTCTTCGGTTTCAATTTGATCCGCGACTTGTACCAAATACCATGTAACAACATCACTGCGCTTCATACCCGAATCGATGCCTTCTGTTTCGCAGCGTGCCTCCTCATTACGCATATGCAATACCAACATAGTGGATAGATTTTTGTAATCTTCAAACGATAGCGTGAGCTTTTTCTTTTGCAGCACGCTACCGCTTGCCTCAATACCTTCTTCTGCTTCGGCACCTTCGGTGGTAATCGTATTACTCGCACCATTAGCAGCACCGCCATTATTTTCCATATCCATATCAGCCACATATGCATCCTCATTGCCCTCATCATCATCCAAATGTATATCGGGCTGTTCGACACGTATAATTGATTTGTTCAATAAACGATAGGCTTCTTTAACATGCCTTTCTTGTACTTCATTCATGCACTCCAGTTTGGCCATGGCCTCGCTCAGACGTATCATCGACTCCAATTGACGTACTGTGATACGCCATGTACTGCGGCCGGCAATACCGGTGTCGCGTTGACGTAAATGACCATAGTTCTCCACAAGCAATTTCATTGCTTCCTGACCGATAATCGGTTTGAATTGACGGGCAAATGTTATGTAGCGCAGCACTTCTTCGCGCGTGTACGCACACTCAACGGAATCCTCAATGTTCGAGTGTAAATCCACAATTTTGCGCGCAATTGCATAGTCCACCACTTCGTTGCATTCGTCGACGAGTATAAAGAATAAATCGAAACGTGACATAATTGGCGCCGACAATTGTATATTCTGCTGTAAACTCTTTGTACGGTCATAACGGCCATTAATGGGATTGGCGGCAGCTAAAATGGAAGTGCGCGCATTTAAGGTGGCACGCACACCAGCTTTTGCTATGGAAATTGTTTGCTGTTCCATCGCTTCGTGTATGGCGACTTGATCGCGTGGATCCATCTTATCGAATTCATCAATGCAACAAATACCATTGTCGGCCAACATAAGCGCACCGGCTTCGATGACAAAATCGAAACTCTCCTCATCACGCACCACAGCGGCGGTAAGACCAGCTGCGGAGGAAGCTTTGCCAGAAGTATAAACAGCGCGAGGCGAAAAGTCGGCGACTTGTCGCAGAAATTGTGATTTTGCCGTACTGGGATCACCGACAATACATACGTTGACGTCGCCTCGCAAAGTTGTTTCTGTAAACAATTAAAAGGTTATATTTTATATATACTTAATATTAAAAAAACAAGAAAAAAACGTTAACTACGTTTGCACCGAATCTATAATACACTTCACAGTTAAAAAAGTTTCTTTACAGGAACTTGATTTTAATTGTAGCTATATGCTATAGTGGTCTGGTCTGAAGAATTTCTTCCGAGGTTGTAGCCTTGTTTGGGGGATAATTCTCGCCAAATTTTGTGAAAAAATCTCGTAAAATAAATAAGTTTTCTAAACACGGAATTGATTTTGAACGATAAGTTTGTATGAGAGTTATATGCTATAGTAGTCCGATCTGAACAATTTTTTCGGAGATTGCATCGTTGCCTTGGATAATGATGCATGCCAAATTTCGGGAAGATATCTTGTCAAATCAAATTTTCCATACAAGAATTTGAATTTAATCGTTCAGTTTCAATGGCAGCTGTATGCTACAGAGGTCCGATATCGGGTTCCGACAAATGTGCTGCTTCTTTGGGAGAAAAGGACGCCTGCAAAATTTCAGATGGGTATCTCATAAACTGAAGGACAGTTCATGTATATACGAACAGGCAGACAGATACGGCTAAATCGACTCAGTTCGTCACGCTGATCAATTCATGACATTTCATGTTCATGCTGTTCAGGGTTTACGAATTTTACTTACTTTCATGCGTAGTCTTGCCCACACCACCGAATAACTGCAACAGCACGCCACGCTTAACCTCATCATTACCGTAGATGGAGGGAAACAGACTGGTGATGAGGTGGTTATACAAAGTACGATCTTTGGACATTTCGTATACCTTATTCCACTCGGCATCAGTCATTTGTTTTTTCATATCCTCTGCTGTTACCTCGGACATAGGCAAGTCGGTGCCACCAAAACGCGCTGTTGTTGTTTGAACACTGCAAGCCAAGAAGGACATGCGATAATTGAGTTCACGTGTGCCCAATTCTTTTAAACCTGACACACCTTCCGGACCATCGCCTGGCTTATGCCGCGAACCCATATCAGCTTTGGCGCCCGGCATATTTAAGACACCTACATCGGGTACGACTATTAACGTACCGGTGAAATCATAACGATCGCCTGCTTGCACAGTTTCAACTAATTCTGAACGTAAAATGATTTCAACCGATCGTGGTATACAGCCACGCGGCAGTTCTGCTTGCGTTTCCTGTATGCGTATCTTTTGAAAATCAACAAAAAGCGATTTCTCCACATCCAGCATGAAGCGTCGCCGATTACTGCACACAGGATTACGACAGATGGTTGGATTGGTAAACTTGAATTGTTGCTCCACATTGCGTATTTCAGTTTGGCAATCCATACACATGAATGTGCCAGACACCAGCTCAGGATGCACTGGATGTGTACGTACCACTTGACCAGATATGCGTATCAATGTGCCAATCTTTGATGTGGTTAAGTCACGCACTTTATGTCGCGTTGGCACATCAGTAAAAGAGATGTAACATTCTTTTTCATTCTTCAAACCACAACGATCCTTGACAAAATTTGAAACTGACTGGCACAGAAATGGGTAGATGCTATAAAAAAAGGGTTTTCAAAAATTGTACGTTTGTTTAAACACGCACACACGCACAAACTTACCGATAGTATTCTTCGATAATTGTTGTAGCCAAATTTTGATTGTATTTTTCCACATCATCGAAAGATACCTCTAGTGTATAGCGATCTGGCGATTCCAGATCTGCCGCAGGTTTCACATATTTAATTTCACCATCTTCCTTAAACCTAAAGTAAATATGGTTTGGTTTTATACACTTCTGCTTGTTTATTAAAGTCGTCACAAAATCACTGGTTCGTCCACTTACTCCTCTAAGAAATCCTGAAAGAGTTTTTGACAACGCAAGCCAACTTCATCTTTTACGCGTAATTGTCCGATTTGTGCGTCAGCTACATCCATTGCAATGTTTTAATTTGGCGTTGTATTATTTTGCCAATTAGCTGCTTATTTGAATTATATATGCACAAAATTCTAAACACGATGAACCCAAATTGAAAGCTTTGAATGATGGTATAGCATTTGACAGCGCTGGCATTTGTTTTGGCGCGCACATGAAGACGCTGATAACACTGGTCAGAGAACGTATATCAGAGAACGTAAATTACGTTCTTGGCTGGTGTTGTCATTGAAAACTAGGTAGCACTGCTAAAGCGTTGCACCAGAGAATGTAAATTAAATATTATTTATATTACGTTAAATTATATATTATATATTATAATAATATAAGCTCCAAGGTTAAATTTTCGGATCATTTATCTATGATAAGTTCTCTGCGTCGCACTGTCACACTTGATGGATAAATTAAAATTGAAATAAGCGTCAAAATCTTATTTTTTTATTTATACACAATAATTAAAAACTCATACAATTATTGTATTATTATTATTTCTTTCCGCCAAAATATTTTTGCCGCTTTAAATATTATAAAATTAGTGGGAACTAAAAAGAATAAATAACAAGTGTTCTTTATTGTAATACAAAATTTGTTGGTGTTTGTATATGTGTTATTTTGTTCAATGAAATTGCAATCAACGCAATGAAAAGCCAGATGTGAATTTTGCATATCTATGATGATGCGCACGAAAACTGCGGCATATACAAAAGAATATAATATGTTCTATCTATCATCTACAATTTCTAATTAGTTAAATTCCTACCAATTGTTACTTCTTATCTGAGAGCCTTCCTTAACTCTTTTTCTGTACCCGTACTCCTCGTGCATGCCACATCTCCAGAGTTATCAGAAATCCACTCTCGAAGCTTCCAAATATTATTGTAGTAAACTTTAAATATTGTGAAACTGGCTACGTAGATTTCATTCCACTCTTAGTCATTATCGAAACAATTATCCGTTGAAAATGCGTTCAATATCTTGTGAGAGATATTTTATTTGAAGTTTAAATCACACGAATCTCCGACAAAAGCTGATTAATTTAATTAAAACATCACACAAATTGACTAACACAAAGAGTTTAAAGTCGTAATCGTTATATATATCTGATATATTGGGGCTAGGGAATCGTCTGCACTGATTGAATTGACTTTTGACTCAAACATACTGGGGAGCATGTTTCTATGCAGTTTTATAAAGATAGTTCATCTACTGACCTATATATTCAGCTAAAGTCTGCTAGCATAATGAAAATTGTTATATGTAGTAAATGATGCGGTAATTCGTGGACTGATTTTAAGATTTTCGGCGCTAAGCTATAAAAAATCGATTATTATAGGTGCTCTTAATTCTGTCAAAATATGTTACATACATATGTTATTGACCGGTATAAAGTCAACCCAAAGCTTGAAATTCTTATATTTGGTATGGAGAGCTAGGGATAGTACTGACCCGATTTTATAAATTTTTTGCATCACGACATATTATTACTCTGAGTTTTTATTATTATTACGCTCTGAGTTTCATTAAGATATATCACAGATTGACTGATATATGTATGTTTATGGTATTATGTCAACCTGTTGACTAGGGGAAGTACTCACCCGGTTTTTCCCATTTTAGACACAATGACGCAATGTTATTAGACGTACTCTGAATTTCATTAAGCTGAAATATTGACCATATAGGTGAAGTATAAGTATAGGTATAGGTTGATACGCTTTCACCCATTTTTTGCACAAGGGCACATTAACAGAAAAAGATTCTTTAATAATGTATCATAAGAATATTGGAATAATGATACCCACCAAATTTCATTGAAAGTGATCGAATAGATCTTAAGATATTGAATCATATGGCATGAGAAATTTGATTCTTCTGACGTGTGTTTAATGAGTTATTTCACTTATAATCTAATTTCATATTGGGAGGCGAGTCCACATCCAGTTTTTAAAAAATACAGATGCCCCTTCCAATTGCGATTCGCTGCATTTACAGTTTTGTATATATTCATTTTGTATCATTTTGTTTTGTGTGTTATTATCGGGCACATATTATATGTTTATTATGTGCTTGTTTTAGGAGCCAATTTCGATTAATAGTTTGTTTTTGACATCAGAAAAGGTTAGTTGCGTTTTTGTGTGCTCTTCGATTTTTGACTTTTGAAGAGATGAATCAAAGAATATGTGTTAAATATTGCGATAAAAATGGAACTTGAAATGTTGACTGTCCCATTCGGTGAGTCTACTTTGTCTCAAAAAAGTATTTATAAATGTGAAGGTTTTGCTCACTGCTTGATGGTGTGATGTATCATGAGTTCCTGCCAAAAGGTCGTACAGTTAATAAGGAATACTACAAGGAAGTGAAGCAATACAGTTCAAACGATTGGAATTGTGGAAAAAGAAATGGTGGATTCTGCATCACGATAATGCACCAGCTCACAGATCAATGCTTATTCGTGACTTTTTACCCAACAACAAAACTGCAACCATGCCTCAACCACAGTATTCAACCGCTTTGGCTCCATGCGTTTTTTTTCTATTCCCAAAACTGAAGAAACCAATGAAAGGAAAGCGTTTTGCCACAACTGATGAGATCGAAGAAAGAGCTGATGGCCATTCCGAAAAGCACATTTCAGAAGTGATTCGAGGACTGCAAAGAGCGTTGTCATACGCGAATTATATTACTTTAGGGGGGGATTACTTTGAAGGGGACAAAATATATATTGATAATTAAATAAATACTTTTCAAAAAAATTCAAAATTCACCTTTTCCTTTGAACACACCTCGTATATTTAGACACATTTCAGCTAAGAAATCATAATATTGATAACATGGTATAAGGACATCTATTCCCGTTAACAATAGGATTGAGTGCTGAAAATATACTTGTTCGTAATACAAGTTGATTTTATACCACCTACATATAAACAAAGTTCGGTTGCAGGCGAGCGCCTTCCTTACTTCTTCATTTTACTTATTTCTTTACATGCGATAAATTTAAAATTTTTATTGAATCTGGAAAGTGCTACTTGTTGTTCTACTTAATGATGGCTCTGCGGAGTTTTGCCCAACTTTAAAACACTTATCCACACACAAGCATATACATACATACTTATATGTATATATGTATATATGTATTAATAGCTTCGAACGCAAATGTTGTAATCGCAAGGACAAAACGTAAATAATAACAACGGAATACTGTCGTTGAAAGGATAATTTATGTCCATGAAATGAACCGTACAAATGTGTACATATATATTTATAAGTAAATACACATATATGTACATACATATGTATAACAGTAATTTGTGGTTGGCGTAAGCGTTCGCTAACTTTTGGCGTTAGTTGCTTATATATATTATAAAGCTTCGTTGTTAATTAACATTCTCTCATTTACAGTTAAACTAGCAAACATGTACAAATATATATACATGCAAAGAACAGCGGATATCACCTAACAATTTAAACGATTTTTAATGACCATAACTCTTAATCAGTATGGGATTTAAAGCACAAATAGGCGGCTTCAATCCATATAAAATCATTACAGATACATATTTATGAGTTTATATCAAAGTTAAATGTTTGAACCACAAAAGGTGCTTAAAAAGATTTATTCAATTACGCAACTTTTTCATGAACTTGTTCATTTAATATAACAAAACAATAATAATTTTATGACGTTGTTTCGAGAATTTATTTGTACATAAGGTCTTTGATTTTTACCCTGACGAATGCTGGTGCGGGTTGGAAAGATCAGTTTATTTGTTTGTAAGAGGTCGATCCGAAAAGTACCTATCCTCACCGCTCAATGGTTTCACAAAGGGAACATTATTATCGTGCAGTCCATTTTTTTAGAGGCCACTGTCAAATTCAGCCGAATAGGATTTGTAGTTTTGTTTTGGCAGCGTTTTAGAAAGCGCATTTAGGAATTCTTTTTTTTTTTGGTAAAAAAAATTTAGAATAAGTATCAACCCTTCAAAACTTCTAGTTTTATACTGAAGGTATTACAGCTTCTCGGTTACGTGATCCGTTTTAAAGGCAGTTTTATTCTAGATATAAAATAGTTTCGTTAAGTATTTTAGATTACTTCATGCATATTTGGGAGAGTAACTTTGTTGGGTTCAGCGTGTGTTTACATCATAAACACAATTTTGGTATTAAAAGCTCCGGTTCTCTTTGGTTTAAGGAGACAAGCATCCATAGGATTCTTCTGTGATAGTGGATCCCACGATTTTATCTGAGAAGCAACTTATATAATAAGTATAACTTGACAATGTTTTCACTAAACCTGATTGGATCCTTCTTTGGCTAAAATCAGATACATCTCTGTTTTTCCATTCCATTTTAGCAAGATAAGCTTCACCGGTCTGCCTAAAATAAAATAAATGTTCCCTCACAATAACTAGTTGACTTTTGTTGTGAAATTAACATCATATATTTTATTATTTAAAAAATATCAAATCGGCGGTAGACGATGTTCTATCGGCCGAGCTGTTCCAATACAGTGGCGAAGAACTGACAAGGGTCATGCTTCTTTGCATAATACGGTCGGTCGAAAGCATGTTCGACGATTGGAAACAAAGTGTTCTCTGAGGAACAATGGCAACGATCAATACCGAAGGCAATAAACTGTACGAGTTATACGAAGATATTGACATAATTCAGCGAATAAAAAGACGGTGGAGAGCTACGTGGTTTCGCTTGGTTTTTCAATTGTCGCGTTAGCGGTGCGTACGCCAATGTAGTAAACTAACTCAATTTAATTTTACGGTCACCTATCTAAATTTGACAAATATTAATGATGTTTCCTGCCCTACCGACTCTCTCGTGGCCTTCTTACATAGGGTACATCTTTCAGAAAATCAACACTTTGCCGTATCACATATTAACCCATTGCTTTGTTTCAACGGTGTTTTTCCCACTAGAAAACCATGTTTTATCAAAGTACAAGCATTCTTTCTACCAAAATAGCAGTGGTAGCGTCACTTTGAGACCAATAACTTAAATATGATTTATTAATGAAATGTTTTGGAGCTTTGACAGTATTTTAGCTAGTACTCGAAGATAAGGGTAGAAATGTTTTGTTTCAGGCAGAGAAAGAACTTCTCAACCCAAAAAGCGAATTCTCATCCTTAGCCTTGGACAATATTTCTTGCCAAATTTCGTGAAGATATATCGTCAAACAAAAAGTTTTCCATACAAAGACTCGATTTTGATGGATCAGCTTGTATGGCAGCAATATGCTATAGTTCTCCTATCTGAACACTTTTTTCGGAGAATTTCGTGAAGATATCTTGTCAAATAAAAAAGTTTTCCATACAAATACTTGAGCACGATTGATCAGTTTTTATGGCAGCTATAAGCTATAGTTGTTTCATCTAAACGATTTCTTCAAAGATTACAGCGATGTTTTGAATAATAATCTGAGTCAAATTTCGGGAAAATATCTAGTCTAATAAAATTTTGTTTGATACAAGGTCTTAAGTTGGAGTGGTCAGTTTGTATGGCATCTATATATTATAGTTGACCGATATTGGCGGTTTCGACAAATGAGCAGCTTCTATGTGAGAAAAGGACGTGTGCATTTCAAGTCGATATCTTAAAAACTGAGGGACTAGACGGACATGGCTGAATCGACTAAGCTCATCACCCTGATCATTCATATATATCCTTTACAGGGCTTAAGACGTTTCTATTGGGTGTTACAAGCACCGTGTCAAACTTAATACACCCTGTTCAGGGTATGAAAGGTGTAAACGGCTACTAGCCTCAAGAAAGTGTGCGTCAAATTACTCTGCCAAAGAAAGAATTCAGTTTAAAGAAAAAGTCATTTAGTTCTCTTATCTGCAGTACAGTATAAGAAATTATGAGTTGTCCTTTGGAATATTTTAAAGGACTTTCTTTTCCCACCCAAAAATTAAAATGTGGACACTATGCGCTTTTAAACGATGTCATAATAGCTTCTAAAGTTCGCAGATTCGGTGGATGAGATGACTTTATTTAGGGAGCTTTAACACTTTTATATTTTAGTAAAAACAACCTCAATCTAATTAAATCTGAATTTTTAATATATTTGAACTCCCATTACGGTTATTAAAAAAAGAAATCATCTAACAACAACCCTTAAAAGTAGGCAAAAAATGTAGCGCAAATCACAGCTATGCGTTTATATAGTCCACTAAAGGAATTTAGGTGGCATGGGGTGGATATAATATATAATATATGTATATAAAAATTATTAAGTTTGTGCGTGGGGGCCATACACGAAGTGCTAAAACAGCGAAAAACAACGAGACACATAAAGGTGAACATAAGCGCCGCCTCCTGCGAGATGCGTACAAGACAAGTCGATGCTTGTGTGGTTGTTTATGTAAGCTTTGTTGGCAACATGTGCGTAGGTGTTCAAAAGCAACAAGAACACAAGAATAATAACAACATCAAAAATCCTGAATATCAACAAACACTTTTATACGCACACACACATACACCTACACCGGTGTTATCGACGAATGGGAATCAAGTGTCGAGGAGCCGAGTCAATGACGTCATTAACAAGACGAAGCGAAAGTGACCATCAGCTGCAAGACGGCAAAACTCTGTGAGCGAAGAAGAACGATCTAACTAAAGAGCTGTTAAGGAAATTATACACTATTTCATGGTGGTGAAATTATGCTTGAAAAGAAAAATATTAAGTGTCTCGGTAAATACTCGTATGCAATGCGACAAAAAAAGTTTTAGCAACGTGCATTAATATAATGCGTAGGCGTTTAAACATCGGTGCTCCCTATACCACCCTGGTGCTCTGATTTTATGTGCGGTAGCACACAGGTGGCAGTTTGGGTACAACAACAATTATTGTTGGAATTTCATAGGAATGCAATGGGGAGGGGTAGAACGCAGCAGCTTTCGCCACCTGTACGAACGTACACGATGTATGCAGCAAGCGAAGAAGTAGCGCGAACGAAGCGGTTATGTTAAATCGTGAGATTTTTTGGCGAAAATCGCATGCGACAGCTCTTTATATCTCATAAGCAAATATTATCTTAAAGATTTAAAGTTTATAAATATTTTATATATAAAAAGTTAGGCCAGAGCCCTCAAAAAGGCCTAACTTTAAGGGGGTATTCTAGTGTAGAATTTTTGTTTCATATTTTCAAAGTTTAACTATTTAAGAATATGTCTACGAGAGGATTTTTGAAAATTTAAATTATTTTCGGAGATATAGATATTTTTCTGACCCGGCCTCCCAACCGGTTCGGCTGGGTCTAATCGATCAAAAGACTTTAGGCGAAACTTTAAATGCGTTTTTCTCAGACCAGACTTTTCAATACGATACCCACGATTTCTCGAGTTCTACTGGACCAATTTACTTGAAATTTTCAGAGAATCTTCTTTCGAGTATGAACTAGCCTCATCCCCAACATTTTTTTTTTCATTTCAGATGACTAGGAGAGTTGAAATCTTGGGTATGCTCATGTGCCAATTTTTTGAGACCCCCCCACTACATCAGTTTTTTTTAATTTTTAGCTTTTTTTAAATTTTTTGCTGTACTCTTGTAACATTAATGATACAATAAATAAATACTGATCAAAAAATGGATAGTAAAAATATTGATTGCCTTTTTTACGACACTTTAAAAATTACCTAAAATTCATATCTCTAACTGGAGTACCCCCTTAATAATTTATTCTGGGAGTAAGTAAAATAGAAACGAATTTCTTTATATCAGAATGTACAATATTTTAGGGATTAAAAATTGTTCATATTAACATTTTGATATAAAAGGGCGAATATTGGGTTAATTTTCGGAATTACATTTTTTGAGAGAGCCTCAACGGGTATCGATGATTCAAGGGAGCGGTGTTATTTGACAAAAAAAACATGTAAGAAAGAGTGTAACCGAAAATTTTATACTCTCCCGACTTGCAAGGATCAAAGCCACAGAAATATCTTCTGGTGTTGGCAAAACTATATAAAAATTAGGCAAGTACTGCCATGATTTAATTTTCGGCAAGACGATACACTGTTATTAAAAATAGATTATTTCTGAATTTCATTAAGATTTCGTAAGTTCGAAAATATTTATATTAGGTATATGGGGGCTAAGGAAGGTATTAACCATTTTTAACATACAGAGATACTATTATCTGGAAAAAGTCAACTATATGTAATGGGGTCCACATATTCGGTACTTAGGAGCACAAACAGTTTTAGCTCGATTTGGAAATAAGGTGGTATACAGGCATTCTTCGTGCGGAGTTTTATCCTGTTATATTCATTGGTTCTCGATTTGCATATTAGAAAGTGAGAGAATCAGATGGAATTTAAAACTGTCTTATATGAGAAGTAGGCATGTAGTGTAACGTTACGTACCGAATTTGGTTTAAATCGGTCAATTAGATCCCGGGATATGGGTTTTTACCTAAAGGTGGACGGTGCCATGCCCATTTTTGTTTTGGCTCCTATAGAGCTTAATTTTACCATCCTACATGTAAATTTTAACGTCTCCATCTGGTTTATTTAATGAATTTTCGCACTTTTAGTCATTTTAATCAAAACCCTTATATGGGGAGTAGGCGGGATTATCACCCAATTTCACATATTTTTACACTGTCAGTAGGGGTGTTGAAAAGATTTGTCTTGACTAAGATATGCATATTAAATCAATTAGAGGGCGGGGCCACGCGCACTTTTTAAAAAAATTTTAAACAGAAGATGCCCCTTCTTAATGCGACTCGTTGTACCAAATAATAGTCTTGTATCTTATGGTGGAGCTTAGTTATGACAATTTATTGGTTTTCGATTAATGGCGTTTTGTGGGTGTGGCAGTGATCCGATGACGCCCATCTACAATACCAAGATATATAATATGTGTACCAAGTTTCATCAAGATATCTCACTTTTTACTTACAAGTTACAGCTTGCACAGACGGACGGAGGACGGATACACAGTCACCCCTATTTCAACTCGTCTCTTTATCCTGATCATTTACATATAAATATACGAGTATAACCTTATATCTATCTCGATTAGTTTTGGGTTATGCATTAGCTGAACAAAATTATTACTATTATACACTGTAGCAACATGTTACAAGAGTATAAAAACGTTGTTTTCGGCTCTCTTTCTCTTTCTATTGTTATTATTTTCTAGTTCTTTCTAGCCAACGTGTTTGATATAACCAGCCTTTAAGTCGAATTAAGGTTCCTTAACAAAGAAAAAATATATTTTATGAACATCTTTATCTCGATTTTGATCGACCAAAATAGTTACTTTTAGTAGAATTTAATTAATTTTTACGTTTATTGTGAAATTAAAAAATGTCTGTGCGTTGACCCTGTTTTTCAAGTTAATTCATATTGACAATTTTAAATAATCTTAAGACTTATTTATTTACTTTAAATCTTTATAAACGCAGCGTTTAAGCAAAATTGTTAAAATTATAAATATATTAATCATATTAATGTGTCAATGTACAATGTGAATTCTTAAAAAATATTTAGCAAAAAGAAAGTGTGGAATTAAATACTATTACATGAAAAATTCATAAAGTTTTCAAGGAGCAACAGTTTTTTTGAATATCAATTTTGTTAAATTATTCAGTTAGAAATGTTCGTTAATAAATGAAAAGTACATATTTTCCTTAAAGATATTCAATGTATTCAAACTATAAAATACGCAAAATAATGTAGACAACAAGTTTCCTGATTTTGACATTTCTACTACTAGAATCTGATATACCCTTATAAACATTAATCATGTATTTGTTTATCTAGTTTTCGATATGGTCCGACCCCGTCCAGACAGCTCCTGTCCCTGATTTACGTTAAATTAATATCTAATAATAAGAACTAATTTAACATTTCAGCAAATGAGATTCTGATAACAGTTACAACAACATTAGTAAAAATACTGTTTGAATTTTGATTCATTAGTTCAAAGGAGATATTGAAAGAAACTCTAAGTTCATTGGAAGTATTAAGTTTTAAACTTATATTCGCACAAACAGGAGATAAGGGATGCTTTGAACTATTAGCTGAAATTCTACACCACTTTTCAAGTGTCCAAAAAACCTTTTGGGAGATTAAGGACTGATAGCAGCCCTAGACGAAATAATTGAAGGCGGCTAACGGCGGTTGTCAGTATTAGTATTAAAGTAATACTCACATATATAGACCCTTGAAGAGAGTGCTGTATTTTTAGCACATAGACAAAAACTAAATACTATGGTGATGGCATCATAGCACCTACTACTTGTCATCTGTAATCGCATTAAAAGAAGTAAGTATCTTTGGTTGTTTTTGAACGTTGTTGTAATTTTAGATGATATAACCAACAACGATGAAAACAGTTATTACATACTCCTATCAATATATCAAAGCGGAATCATTCGAAACTGGAAGGCCGATGCAAGAGAGTGCATCTTAGTCCCGATCCCGATTGGTAGATTAGGTTTGCCATTTTTTGTCGGAAGGTGAAGGTCGGAATCTAGAATGGCGCTCAGCCATGCGGTCACTAACCCCTTCATCACGTAGGCACCAGTAGATTAAAAGGGTTAAGGAAAGGATAAAGAGTTTTTGCGTAAGATTGAATTATGAACCAGACAGTTTAGATATAAATAAGAACTGCAAGTTATTTCACATGATATGTTAAGTTTCTGAGAACATTTCCAAATATTGGCAACATTGCTTAAAAAAATTATTATCGCAGGCATATTATCATAAGTGTGTCAACATTTTTTGTTTTAAATATAACTTAATTCAGTTGAATACTCTTTCGTTCTTAAAACAAAAAATATTACATACAATAACAATTTTTATTGCATGCTATAAAATTCTTGCATGTAATCTATTTCAGTTCAGACATTATTGAAAAATGGAAAGCTTTCCACCTACGACCGCTTACATACGCATATCGTTCACTGTTAACTTCGTACACGAAGTGCGTACCTTCGTCACAACGTTGCTGTTAACAGTAACTAACAATATAAATGCTAGAACGCCGAAAAGTCGGCACACATTCGTTTCTAACGCGTGCCGCTGAAAGCAACTCGCTAAACTACAGCCCGAAAGTAGACTACAGCAGTTATATTCAAACTACCAGTTTTGTTGTTAACAGAGTAATTACCAAAACCGTTTAAAGCCAAGAGTAAATCTTTGGAATACCAGTATTTTGAAAATTCACTAAATTTTAGAAAATATTCGTTTCTTCTTTGATTCTTTGCCGTGTGTTTGCGCAACGTAAATAATTAATTTTGTTTTCGAGTGCTGACAATTAGCCGCCAAGCAATAAGCGCGTGAAATTTTGCAATTAGAAAATCGTGTGTGGTCGTGTGACATTAATTGGAAAACTTTCAATTGCTCACACTCACTTATACATATATACATATTTACAAACATTTATATGTAAATCGCTAAAGTATTCAAACGTTTTCACTAAGCTGACTCAGCTGTCGTGTGTGGTCTTAGTGTCTTTGTACGCTGAAATATTTACTTTTCATCAAAAAACGCTGTGATTGCGGCAAAAAGTGTGCGCGCGTTAATAAACCAAAAATAGGAAAGTAAGAACATAATAAGAAATTTTAATTGGAAAAATCCCAAAAAGTGACGATAAATTATTGGCTGACGTGAAACTAATAGGTAAGTTTCTAAAGACAATTTGTATTTAGGAAAATTGAAGATTTAAAATTTTTTTTTTTTCAAAATTACAAAATTTAGGCCAATGTCAAAGAATTTTGATTGCAGAAATGATATAACTAAGGCAGAAATCATGCTACAAAACTTTATTTTATTATAGTACTTTTGAAACTTCGTTCTGAAAATTTTAGTGGACTTACTCTTACTTAACCAGATTAAACAAAGAGTTAAGTGAAATCCACCAATTTAATAACCATTTTCTTAAGAAAAGATAAGAATAATAGGGTTCTTCATAAACGTAACAACGATAATCCCAACCCTGGTTGAAAGTTGTTAAATGAGTTCCAATGAGATATTGGGAGAGACATTTGTTGGAGATTTTAAGTTTTGAATTTCTACGATTATATCAATTAATGGGAGATTTGGGATGCTTTGAACTATAGGCCGAAATCCGAGCTTTTGAAGTGCCAAACAAGTGTTTTGGGCGACTATAGACTTATAGTAGCCCCAGACGAAGTAATACAAAGATCACGGTAGCGAAATCGGGGGTTAGTATTGTTGTTGTAGCGGAAAAATTCTGCCGAGTTGACACTTTTTGGACGCATAAAAATCCGGGTCCGTTTTGGTTACGTAGACCTGACTGTCGTGGGCGAAATAGCGAAATCGGTCTACAACCACGCCTACTTCCCATTTAAAAAATATAACATTCTATAAGATACTTTCACTTCAAAATATTTAGTATATAATGAAAAAACTTGTGTACTACTTGTGCCTTCGTAGTGCCGAATATGAAGACTTCAGTGTCTTTGGCTGACTTGATATCGAAAATATCGGTCAATTATATAGATTAAGACAGAATCTTTCCCGATAATAATGTGCCTAGTGTCAAAAATTGGTAAAATCAGGTCAATAGCTCCCCTGAGGTATTTTAATTAAACTCAGAAAGCACTTTTTCTGGCAATAATTTGTCGTGGTTTCAAAATGGTTGAGTAAAATAAATTTTTTCCGCTGCCCTCTGTGTACCTTATATTAGGTTTTCAAACTGGCATCACATATTTATTATGAATGTACATATAATATAATATATCGATAAATACGTAAAATATTTTTGCGAATTTGGTGAATGTATAATCATTAGAATATAATATAGTTTGGTGCCGAAAATGATAGAAATAGGCCCATGAATTAAGTTCCCATAAACTTAATATAATGATTTTCATTAATCTAGTTGGTTCAATTGGTAACTGAAATATGATTGATATATACTGTGTATCAGCAATCATACTTGATATTTTAATAAAGATAAGTAGGTGGATATATTTTCCTGACCACAATGCGATTAGCCTTAAATTAAACTAATGAAAACGTAGAAGAATTCTGTGGTAATTTAAACTTTGTTGTTGCAAAATATAGTGCTGGCGAATGATGAAATTTAACCATCTCTCAAGTCTTCGCTGTAAATTATCTCGTACATTTACCTCCGGACTCTTAATCAAATGATATATATATATTTTCTCTATTATAAATTAAATAAATATATTATACAAAATGACAGATTTAGACGTAATAATTTTAGAAACATGTGTTTAGATATTTAAAAAAAAACATGAATGACTAGTTTGTAGAAGAATAAAAAACAAATGAATTTTTGTTAGTATTAAAATTTATTTTAGTTTATCTTCAATTGTTAATTACACTCTTCGTCTTACTCAATAGACTATTTGTTTGGTTTATTTATTTTGTTAACACATATATTATAAAATAATAAATTATGTAAATTTGTTGCACTTTAGAGAGATGATGATAATAATGCGACTATACCTTAGATACATATACATATAGAGCCAAAACCGTCCATTAATACGCTTTTTGGAAATAATTTGCTGCTGTTCGAAATCGAATGAATGGTATGATATTTCTATAAGAAAATGATATAATGATTCAACAAAATGAACATCCTTAGGCTTAGATAGTATACTTTCGCTGTTTTGAAAAAAATCGATTTTTCGGCATAAGTCTAATGTAGACAGACATATTTCTAATTATAAAGCATGTTTAATTAAATTCAGTTTGTGTAATTTATCTCTAAACACGTTATCCCAAAATTAGTGTTTTTAAATTTTGGCACGATTCTGACAAAACTATAAAAGATATTCGATATTTGTAAATTGTTACTGATTCACTAAACATGTCGCTATGCTTAGACAGGATTTTCATCATCACTATTTTTAGTAAAATATTTCGTTCAAATGAGTATCGTACGAAAATGGGTATTTTCGTAACAGTTATTTCTCAGACTTGATTACAATTTCATTGCGTTGCAATTTGGTAATAACTTGGAAAATAAGACTCATAATAATCAGTAATCATTAATATGTGTTTTAGTTGCGAAATTCCGCTTTCGTCACATTGAGGGACAGCATTTTCAATCGAAAATTATTTGAATGATCGAAAATATTTAAAAAATTGCACAATTGGGACTTACTTCGCTTAATACATATAAACGAGAGCCATTGACATTATTGACATTTAAGTAGAGAAATAAATTTTTTCGCCCTTACAACAGCATTTTTATATAATTAATAAATATGACACCTAACTCAAAAATAAGTATCAGAGGGAAAACAGATCAAAAAATAAACTGAAATGAATAACAACATCAGTCGAATCGATTTTTTGCGGCCTGTCTATTTAAATAAATTTTCACTTCTTTTCTGTTTAATTAGTTTACTCCTTCCTGCAGCCACTATCAGTGAACTGATTTCCACTTGAATCAATGAACTGATGATGAAGCGAAACCACTGCGTTTTGATTTGAGGAACTATGAAACTCCATACTTGTATATCCTTCGCAGAATTTTTTTCCTTAATAGTCCAATAACAGTTTCATTAAATGTTGTATCGTCCTTGGGAAGGGTTGAAGTAAAAGATTTTACAATAAATATGGAGCTTAACTCCTAAATGCCTTCTCCGTCCAAAATAACAATCTCTAGGAGAAGTGATTCTATTATTTTGATTTTTCAAGCGACATGATGAATAAGTAGTCACGATTGATCCTACTTGCAGAGCGGATTATGTCAGTCTTTTGTGATATCCAATAACTCCTGTCATAAATTTGTTGAAATGCGACTAGTCAAATCGGACCGGGTTCCGAGATGCTTCTACCTTAGTCTAGCGAAAGTTGGACAGTGGAGAAGAAAATGTCTAGGTGTTTATTATACACCTCGTCCTCTTCCATATAACTCTGACAGTTGTCGTTCGGCATGGTTTTTAGCCTTATTGCATTCAAAAGACCTTTTGCGTTCCACTCTGTGCCAGAATTATTTCGAAACCGCAGCAGTTCTGGTTGTTGACCAATTATTGCTAAGCTTGCGCGAGGTGCATAGAGTGGCAGAACGCTAGAGGCGCCTTTTGTTGCGAGCTCATCAGTTATGCAGTTGAATCAAGTAATATCATTAATCTTTTTCGGAAATCATTCAAATTTAATTTTCGAAAGCAAGATTCAGCGTGTCAGTCATACATCGGTGTATAATTTCAAAACCAAAATTAGTTTATAAGAAAATCATAAATACAAAAGTTTTAATCCAAAGACTTGATTTTGATTGGTCAGTTTCTATGGCAGCTATGCGGTTCGATCTGAAATTTTTTTTCGAAGATTGTATCATTGCCATTGACAATAATCATCGTCTTATTTTGTGAAGATATCTTTTCAAATAAAAAAGTTCTCCTAACGAGAACAAGATTTTGATCGTTCACTTTGTATTGAAAAATTTCAGTTCGAAATCTCAAAAACTGAGGGATGTAACGTAAGTTCGCGTATATATGTATGGCTAAATATACTCAGCTCGTTACGTTTATCATTTGTATATATACTTTTCAGAGTTTCCGACGTTTCCTTCTGGGTGTTACAAAAATCGTGGCAAACTTAAAATACTCTGTTCAGGGTAAGAAAAGAAACGTTAACGAACCTATGTCCACATGTATATCGGGTCAGGGTATATTTATATTTCGCTCGAACTTGTCACTAACTTGCAGCATCAATTTTAGTCATCAGTGAGCTTTATTGCCGTTCGTTAACAATATGCATACATACGTACACAACATATGTGGCATGAATTATAAAACCGTTAAGAATTATATAAAGACTTAAAAATAGTCAACATTTATCGCTATGTGATCAGTGGCAGCGAAAATTTATTTATGATTTTATAAAAATAACTTTAGCTTATTGATTTTCATTTCATAGTTGAGTGAATGAATGCCAGTTGATTGTGTATGTATGGGTGTGTGTGAGCGCTCGTGTAAATTAGTGAGTTAATGATGCGTTGAAGGGCAAATGAAAATATGCACATGTATAAGTGTGTGTCACTTTTCCACAGACTTTTTGTCACTTCTTTATACAGGGTTCAGACAAAAGCATATCAAAGTTGCGCTGCTGTCTTCTCGTAACGCGCTCGCCAAAGATATCAATAATGAATTGAGTAAACAAGAAAAGTACATGATAATTAAAAAGGAATCCAAGCATACTAATTATTTATTTTTAACAATAAAATCGCTTGAGTAACATTAATTAAATAACTGTTGTTTGCATTTCTTTTCACCGCATTGCTATAGGTACCTGTTGCAAATGGCAGAAGCATAGAGCTGGTATCATTGTCTGGAACTCGCTAAAGTCCTTTATGTCCAATTATTTTTCGCACCCTTCTTGTGTTCGTATTAACTGTGAGTGCTTGAGTGATTTATTGTCACGGATAATTATGTGCACATCTGTGCGCAGAGTATAAATTGAAACACTTTGAAATTTTTATGTGATAATAAACTTAATTTTCATATACTACTTATTTAACTGAGTTTGCAAAATGCGCATTGTTTGTTGTATTTTTGTTTTTAATTTACACTTAATTAAGCAATTGACTCGCTTGCAACTAATTGAGATAACCATATAGCGAATAATCGAAGTTTTAATCGATTTTGTTGGTATTGTTGGCAGGAAAATGAAATATT